AGCCCGCGGGTCACCGGGCGCGCTCCGAGCGACGGTCGTGTCGCCGCCGCCGCTGTGGCCCCTTCCCAGAGGCTGGAGAGGCCTCGTTCAGGGTCACAGGGTTTCTGCCGCCGACTTTTCCTCCTGCCCAGCCCCTCCGTCTGGTGGGAGCCCAGCGTTCCCGTCGCCCGCATCCGCCCGCTGCTAGGGAAACCCCCCTGTTCACCTTGTCCCCGAAATGGCCGGAGCCCAGTGCCTGCCCACAGGGGCGACAGGCCTCCTGCCTTTGCTGTGGCCTGGCCTGGCGCGCGCCTGCAGGAGCGAGACCTCTGCTGCCGCGCTGCTTGCAGTGCGGAGCCGGGCACCGCTGAGGACAGTGTCCTGGGCAGGCTGGGCCCAGGCGGCCACCAAGCGACAGGCCCGTGCTTTCCCGTGGCTTCTGTTCCGAAGCCCTTGCTGAAGCCTTTTCTGGTTAAGACTTGAACCATCGGGCTACAAGTGATCTCTGTGTGAAGAAAACGCAGGGTAAATTAATAAACCCAAAAAGGGCGTTCGAGCATTCCCGGGGGGCGGGGTGGGGGGGGCGGTCCAGCAGCCAAAGGCCCTCCTTGGAATGCAGAGGGCAAGGGTGCAGCCGAGTGCTTCGCGGCATGTCACTGCGCTAAGGGAGCCTGGGACGGTTCTCTGAACCGCAAGGTGGAGCAGGAAACCGAAAATGACCCCGCGTCCGGGGCTGAGACAGTCTTGTGGGTTGTTGGCTGTGTTCACTCTCGGGAATATAATATACGTGAAATAAAATTTGCCATTTTAACCGTTTGTAACTGTGCAGTTCAATAGCGTCAAGATGTTTTTCATAACCCCTGCTCTACCTCCGCCCCCAGCAACGCGACTGCTCCAGGCACCTGGTCCAAGCGCACCCACAAGACGGCCATGCTGCTCTGTCGGGCTGTTCCACCTGGCACTCGGCCTCCACTGAGCACCTGTGTCTTAGCCGTACCAGAGTTTCATTTTTTTAAGGCCTAGTGATGGTCCACGTTGTACTGTTTATTGCTGTTTCGTGTGTAACAACAAAAATAATCCCATCGTATTCTGTTTATCCGATCGTTTATCCAGTCACCCACTCATGGACACTTGGGTTGATGATTGTGAATAGCGCTGCTGTGAACATGGGGTGCACGCCCGTAATTTCAGTTCTTTTGGGTCTCTACCCAGAAGTGGAATCGCTGGATCTTACGGTGATTCCCTAACTTTCTGAGTAACGGCCACTGTTTTTCACTGTGGCTGCTCCGTTTTTCATTATTACCAGCAAAGTACGAAGGGTCCAGTTTCTCCACATCCTCACCAACACGTTTTTCATTTTAATACCCGTTCTCCGGATGGGTGTGAGGTGCAGTTTCATCGTGGTGAGGGGTCTCGAGCAGCTCTTCATGTTCTTTTGCCGATTCGCATTTCTTCTTTGGAGAAACGTCTCTTCGGGTTTTTGGCCCATTAAAAATTTTGTCTCATGGTTTTTCGTTGATACTGGACATTTTAGGTACTATCTGGCAGCAGCTCCCGCTACTGACTCCTCCCCATCATCTCTGAATTGTTTGCTCGTTCACTTGTTTAGTGACTAGACCTATTTGGGGGAGAGGGAGTGAGTGGGTCTTAGCTCACGTGCTACAGACTCCCTGTTCTTACTACGATTTAGAAGATTTTCTTGAGTAGATGTTTCTTCGTGAGCTGCATGCACTTGGGATGATTTCCAGAGACATGAAAACTCAACACTCCATTCACCCGTTGTGGCTTTTCTGGGAACTGGTCTACAGAGCTGCACACACCAGTCCTCTGGACGTGAACGTCATGCCTTTCCTTTTTAAGCGCCCAGCATGCGTTTTGGGGGTATAGGGCCATTCCGTTAAATGGACATGGGGTGGTGAGCACACCAGAAATTCAACGCGGATTCTGTGCTAATAGCTGAGAACTGGTCCATAGGGCTTACTGGGGGACATTCAGGCTCAGCTCTGCTTTCTGATCACAGGACAGCATGGGCCACATTCACATCGGACATACTCAGAAGGACACAGGACAGGAGACAGCTGCTGCAGGTGGCGCCAAAGCCGCCTGGCTGTCCCCGCCTCCTGCCTCCCAGTGTAAAGGCACAGCACCGAGGTCGGAGGTCGCAGCCCCAGGGAAGGTGCGCCTGTTCCCAGGGGCGTGGCACCCGGTCAGGGAGCCCAAGGGGTGGGACCTCCAGCAGCTGTCCACAGGCCTCATCAGGTGCTATTGCCCATCAGAAGTCATATTAGCTAAGCGCTGTCCCCTGGCCACAAAGCTGTGAACTGTAAGTCACCTTTTCCTGCAGGAGAGGAGCTGGGCCGATCGCTGCCATACTGTCCTGTCTCCGGTTTAGGGCTGTGTCGCGTTGGGCACCACGTCTTGCTCGTGCCTGCCGTCTGCACTGGCGGCAGCTCTTTGTCTTTCGTGCCCTTGCTGTTTGGGGACAGCACAGGCCAGCTCATCCGTAGACTGTTTCGCAGTTTCTTCATGATTAAATTCAAGTGAGGAACTTGGCAGGGACACCCTCCCAGGAGGCACGTGATGCTGGTCTGTCCCACTGCTGACCACGTGGTCAAGGCGGTGTCAGTCAGGGGTTGTAGAGTACTGTAAAGAGGACTTTTTCTCTGTGTAATTAATAAAGAATAAAAATAAAAACAAACAGTAGAGGTGATTCACGGAGACTGTGTGACCAACCTCCCTGCTCCTCAGTAAACTTTCGTTCACTCATCTGACCGCCCACTGACGATCCCTGTGTAAATCGGCTTTTGTCACGATGTCGCCCAATGGTGACATTCTGACTTGGCCATCCCTCCTTGGTCATTACTTACTGGCTCCATTTTGCTGGCTTCCTGTGTTAATGATACCAAATACTGAGCATTAAAACATGCACTTCGAAGTGAAACAAACCTCTCAGACCAGGAGCATTTCGGCATACCTGAAGAAGGACAAACGTGAGTCTCAGAGGCTGGGAGACCCTCTTGCTGCAGGCACCTGTCACATAGGCAGGAGGGGGATGGCTGTGACAGACCTAAGAGAGACAAGGGACCGCGTCGATGCCAGCGCCGAAGCACTGAGCAGGTGTCAGGTTGGTGGGAAGACGGCCACATCAGAAAGGTTCTAAATTATAAAAATTTAGTGACCTGTGTAAGTAGCAAGTCACTGAATTCCATGCCGGCAAAGTAATTCCTTAAGTGGGTTATAGTAAATACACGAGAGAGTTGGACTTTGAAGAACAAATCTCATTTGAAATCACCGTAAAGCTTCATCTCAAAGAATATTTGTGTCTCTGGGTGGCGTGTTGACTTCCCCCATGCCACAAAAATGTGCCAAGGCTTCATCCGCTTGGGTCAGCTTGTGCTGCTCGCAGAGAATATCTGCTACTTCCAGCGGTTTCTCGTGCTGCTAGTCGTAGACGGACTCAGATTTTTTCTAGGGCGAATAAACAGTATGGTTTTGTCAGTCATTTTCAGTCCTGGTTTGCACGAAAAAATTCCTTAGTTTCCACGTAACAAGTGTGCAGCTCGTCAACCTCTTGCGCCTCGTCCCTTCCTGACACCTCGATTTCCTCTTCCGCAGGTACCTCCTATTTAACAGACGTCGTGTGGTGGGCAGGCACGATTGCGAGTAAGTACCCGTGTGACATCTTGGACCCCCTGCCTTCAGATCAGTCAGTCCCCTGCAGGACTCGGGGGGTGGGTGGGATTCTTTAGAATGAGGACCCGGAGGCTGTGGAGGGGGAGTGGAGGCTCCTGCTGCTGCCATCAGTCCGGGTCGGACTGTCCTGGGCCCATGGAAATTAAAACAGCTCCTGCTTAGTCAGCTGTAGTCGGGCTGGTGGCATTTGGTGACATTTCATGTTTTTGCTGAACATAATCGGCTTCGTAAAGTCAAGTTTCTTCGCTCAGAGTTAAGTACCAGGACACGTTGCTGTAATATAAAAAAAAAAAAAAAAAAGGAAGAAAATTTGAGTTTAGAACTTTAAATGTATAAAGAAAACTCGCAGGAGGTTCAGAACTCTCCCGAGGCCCGCCGTGCCCCACCGCCGGCCGCCTCGTGGAGAGCCCACGTGCGAGCTGTGTTGGTGCGGAGCGGGGCGGTTCGGTGCAGGCAGCAGCGTCCCCGTCGGTGTGGCCCCGTGGCCGACCCCCGAGTAGGGCCCAGACCCTGGAGGGACACGGGAAGCTCCGCACGACTCGTCTTCAGACGGGGCTTGGGAGAGGGCGGGAGGCGCTGCCGCCCCCGCGTCAGGCACCGCCCGCTCGCTTGCGAAGTCCCACGCGAGGTTGGGACGCGTCCCCCGACCGACTGGGCCAGTGATGCTGTGGGGCCCGCCCTCGGCCACCAGGACCCTTGAGCGTGCAGACGCTGCCACGTTTGGTTTCTCACCTGTGATGGCAAAGAGGTCGCCGTTTCCGAGCGGGGCCTCGCCAAGTGCAGGTCTGCGACCCTTGCCAGGAGACAGCTCGGTAACCGTGGTGCCATCCCTCTGGTTCTCTTGACAGTGGCTGTTGGCCAGATCGGAAACTTCTTGGCTTACACGGCAGTCCCCACGGTCCTGGTGACTCCCCTGGGTGCCCTTGGAGTGCCATTTGGGTGAGAGCTGGGATTCTGTGCTTTGGTTTTTAATGCGTAGTTTGGATATATATGTATATATATATATGTGTGTGCGTGTGTGTGTGTGTGTGTGTATAAAACTTTTCATTTGAAATGTTTCTGTTCAAGTAATAGAAGTAAAATTGTAACTGAAGATAGGTCTTCAGCATTCCACCGTATGTGGTTTAATCCTTAGAAAGCTACTGTAGCGTTTCAAATCCTGACTGTCCACGGGGACCAACAGACGAAGTCCTCGCCCCGAAGACTTCCTAGGAACCAGAGTGTTCCTGGCGCGGGGACGAGTGACTCTGACGAACCCCTGACAGCTCTAGGCCGTCGGCGTTTTATGTGGGCGTCTGCCACCCCCTGCCGGACATGACGCAGTCACGACCCCACACTGGGGCGTTATGGAGGTTAGGATGAACGACACATGGCACTGATGGCTATGGGGGATTTGTGGCTCAACGGGAGGCAAGGCGGCCGGGCCGCCAGGAGGAGGGCTCTGGTCTGGTCTGGGGAGGAACGGGAGAGGGGCAGCGCCTGGTCCTCCCTGCGCTTGGAGCTGAGCTGGCTGGAGGTCCCCGCACTCGGGCCGGCCTTGCCTGGCGCGGCCCTTCTGCCAGCACCGGGGCCCCTGCTGACCTGCCCGAGTCGACCACTGTGCTGGGACGTAGCCACAGGTCAGGTGAAGCACGTGGACATGGCCGTGACCCGGTAAGGCATTACAGAAACAGGGAGATGGCTGGGTCAGCTTTGGGCCGTGGTCCGAGGGCCCCTGACTCAAAGGGCTTTCAAAGGCCTTTCATCTCATCTCAGCTCGGCGGACAGCGGGCCCGCGTTCGGAGCCCCGGGGAGCTCTGAGCAGGCAGCAGGTGACTCCTCCTGGGGCCAGCCTGTCAGGCAGATGAGTGCATTGCCCCCATCCAGGGCCAGCGCGTTGTCCCTTCCTAGCCCAGAGGGGAGCCAGGGACTCGTTCTCCATGAGGAGCAGACTCAGAGGTGAGCAGCTGCCAGGTCCTCCCTCCGAGCGCCCCCGAAGGACGCGGTTCTGTACTGACCGCGCCGCTAGCTGCAAACCAGTGGTTCGAACATCTGCCCACACACATTCGCTGACACGCCCAGCTCCAGACAAGCCATTGATGTGCCTCGGTCACCTGGTTGTGGCCTCCTGCCTCCCTCAGTCCCCGCATCTCCTTAGGAGGAGGTCAGCCCTCACTGGAGGGGACATGCTTTTCCAACGCAAAGCAGGCTGTTCCGGGGCCCTCACCCCGGCCAGCTCCTTCATCAGCCTCTCCCACTCCAGGCCACTGTCCGCCTGCCCCGGTCTGCAGCCAGGGCCTGCCCCTGCGCCCCTGCGCCCCTGCGCCCAGAGGCCCGAAGGGATTCACACCCGCCACTCCACAGCCTGCCGACCCCGCCCGCGAGTCCCTTCCTGCGAAGCTGCGGTGAAGGCTCTTGCCCACAGCGCCCGCCCCCTGCCTCAGGCCCGTCCGCCTGGTGCTCCCACGTGATGCTGCATGCGGTGTGGACGGCATGGCGTGACTCTCAGCCTGGACACTGACAGTGGCGAACTGTTTTCAATGGCAGTTGTTTCTTGATCTGTTGGCCTTAACTATACCTCGAGTTTTCCATTGATATAGTCTGTGTTAGAGTTTTTATTGATGAACTCTTTTAGAGTACTGTTTAATTTATACTCAGGTATTTTATAGTGGAATAAGAGATGACTTGGCCTTGTCGAAAAATGAATAAATAAACGGAGCCACTTGAAAAGGGAGCTGGAGCTGCCGACCCAGAGAAGCTACCGCGCACGTCTCACGCCGCAAACCTGTGGGATGTTAAAACAGGACAGAATAACCGTGCGCTGGGCCCAGGGCACCGGTGTCCCAAAGGGCCGTTGGCAGGGACAACGAGAAAGCAGTCGCTATGATTTGGGACCGGCGGCTACCAGGCCGGAAGTTGAAAATACCCCTTAGCGTCGGCATCGCGCTGTCCCATTATCTGCACCAGTAACAGCAGCTTCCTTCTGCGGGTGTCGCTGTCCCCTTCCCCTTCCCACAAACACCCGCCGCGGCTGCTCCCCGCAGCGGGGCGCCGTCCCCCCGCCTGAGTCAGCGCTTTCCCTCCAGCTGCTGCCACCGACCTCGGTAAACGCTCGCTGCCTCTCACTTCGAAAGGCTTTTCTGAGTGCACAGCCTCGTGGTTCCCGCCTCTGCTTTTCTGCCTCCTCTGCCTTCCCGCACGGCAGCCCCGCCCGCCTCGGCGTGGTCCTTGCTCGGCCTGGGGGGCTGCAAGCCCAGCCCCCCGGCTCCGAGAGCGCCCAGCCCCCCGGGCCTGCCCGCCTGAGCAGCTCCGCGCAGCCCCTCGGCCCAGCTCCCGCTCGTGGCCCTCACATCGTCCACGCTCTCTCCGCGGTGCTGCGGGGTGTCCTGGGGGGACAGGCACGACGTGCAGACGGGGCTTTGGCCTCGGGGGGCACCGCGTTCCACCTCTCATTAGCACGGTGGCCTCAGGCTCAGCGCTGCTCCTCTCTGAGGCCTTTTCTTCATCTGTCAAATGAGAATTAGAAAGGGAATAATCCGGCTCGTCTATGGGCCCGCGCCGTCTTCATGGGTGCTTGTGTCCCTGAGTGCCGTCGGCACAGACACAGGGGAGTGACAGTGACCGGTCCCATGAATTACTAGAAGCCCCGGTTTTCCCAATCACACTGTAGACAAAGAAACGAGAAGCAGCGTGTTACCAGCCCTAAGGTTACCGATGTTTTATGAGGAATGCTTTTTAGCATTAAAAACGAATGGGATCACACTTAAAAAGTTGTGGGCATTACAGAAGAGAAAAATAATCAGTCACTCACACCGAGCGCCAGCCCTGCCATAATGCAGCTACTGTTAGTCTTCTGGAGTGTTTGTTTGTGCATTTTCTCAATTTGTTTTAACTTAAGTGTTTTGATCATGAATTACTTGTAATTATTTTAGCAATTTCCATATCCTACTTTGCCACTTAACATAGGTTTTTTGATTATTTGCTTTTAAGAATCAAGGAGAGATATTTTTATTTGTCAATCGTAAAACTTATTTTTCTACTCTGGTGCATTTCGTATCTACTGAATATCGTACCGCAGTGTGCGTTAAGTCATTGAGTGTACATGGGCTGTGCATGGAGCTGGCATGAAATCCTATTTGTATTGAAATTACAACTTCAGTAAATTCCTAATCTTTCCCACTCTTAAAAGCTAATGAGTGAACGAGGGCGTAAAGAAAACGTGGCTTCTGCGAAGTCACTGGGATGAGCACAGACGGGTCAGACGGGAGGATCTCAGCTCTGCTTTCTCTGTTTTTAACTGAAGGTCCATTTTAGCCTCCTACCTTCTGAAGGAGAAGCTCAACATCTTGGGCAAGTTGGGGTGTCTTCTCAGCTGCGCGGGTTCTGTCGTGTTGATCATCCACTCCCCGAAGTCCGAGAGCGTGGCCACCCCGGCCGAGCTGGAGGAGAAGCTGACCAACCCAGGTGACTGCCAGCAGCCCCACGGGCACTGCGGGTCTCCCGTGTGAGCCTTCTGGGGGCCCCTGCGGCGTGCTCCCAGGGCGTCCCCGCCGCCGACCCTCTGCCTCCTGGGGCCTCCACCCCAAACCCTGCACCTGCGCCTCTCAGCTGTCCTCTGCCCCTTCGGCCTCCCAGGCGGCTTACAGCTGTCCTTCCCGTGTCCCGTACCTGTGGCTTCTTCCCGAATCCTCCCCAGAGCAGGCTCCGTACTTCCCTTTGCCCGCCTTTGGGGACAGGGGCGGCTTGGTGTGCATGTCCAGGCTGTTCCCAGCCCTGTCAGGCCCAGCTCCCAGCACCTCCTTTACGATTGGAGAATGGAATTCGCAGACCTTGCAACCCCCCATCACCGTAATTTCAAAGCAAACTTTCGGCCCCAACCTTAACGGGAGAGGAACCGCAGGAGGTCCCTGGCGTGAAATTGAGCGCCCGGCATAGCCGCAGAGGATGGTGTTGAAGCCGGCAGACCCCACGCGGGTGCCGTGCCGCTGGCTCCAACGCCGGGGGGCGGGGGGCCCTGTCATCCGCAGACGGACCCTCCGAAACGGTCGGCGATCCCTGACGCGGTTCTGAAAATGCGCTAAGTGCACGCGAGTTGCTCCGTTCAGTTGTCGTGCACGTGGTTTTCAGTCCCGAGGCCGGGGAGACGCTCGGGAGCCGCGCGCAGGTCCCGGGGCCCCGACGTTCCCTCCGCCACCCCCGGGAGCGTGAGGGGCGCTGATGGGGGCACGCCTGTCTTGCAGTGTTCGTGGGCTACCTGTGCCTCGTGCTGCTCATGCTGCTGCTGCTGATCTTCTGGGTGGCGCCGGCGCACGGGCCCACCAACATCATGGTCTACATCAGCATCTGCTCCCTGCTCGGGAGCTTCACCGTGCCTTCCACCAAGGGCATCGGGCTGGCGGCCCAGGACATCTTCCGCAATAACCCGTCCAGCCGCCGGGCCCTGGGCCTGTGCCTGGCGCTCCTGGCCGTGCTCGGCTGCAGCGTCATCGTGCAGTTCCGGTACATCAACAGGGCGCTCGAGTGCTTCGACTCGTCCGTGTTCGGGGCCATCTACTACGTCGTCTTCACCACGCTCGTCCTGCTGGCCTCCGCCGTCCTCTTCCGGGAGTGGACCGACGTGGGCCTGGTGGACTTCCTGGGGATGGCCTGCGGGTTCACCACCGTCTCGGTGGGCATCGTCCTCATCCAGGTGTTCAAAGAGTTCAACTTCAACCTTGGGGACGTGAACAAATCTAACATGAAGACGGACTAGGACGCCGCAGTGGGTAGGGTGGCTCGAGGGACAGGAAATGGATGTGGTTTCTGGTCCTGGGTTGACGTGACGTAGAGGAGGCGCCAGGTCACTGGCCTCAGCGATGCTTGTACATTAACGGGTGGTTTCGGGGACAGTGGGGAGCCATGCTCAGCACCAGGCTGGGGCCCGAGCGCTCTGCAGCCTGAGATGCTCAACGGCTGCCCAGGTGTCATCTCTCCGATGACAGTGATCTCACGTTCATAGCCATTAATTAACCTGGAATCTCTCCGATGACAGTGATCTCACGTTCATAGCCATTAATTAACCTGGAATCTCTCCGATGACAGTGATCTCACGTTCATAGCCATTAATTAACCTGGAATCTCTCCGATGATCCTTTGAAAACATCTTAACGTTATCTAAGTAGAAAATGAAGATGGGCTCTTTCTGGTTAGTCTTTGCAGGGGAGCAGATATTCTTACTAGAAGATTCCTTTCGAAATGGGAGAGATTGTCTTGAAATCTGACTCTGGACAGTAACTGTATCCGTAGTGGTTTCTTTTGCATTAAGCCTGTGTAACCTCATCCAAAAAAGAGGTGTATGCGTTTGTTCTTGATCTACTAATGCGCTGCCGCTCCGGCCCCCGCTCCGAGACACGCGAACTGCAGACAGAGAGGAGCATGTGGACTTGACGCTGTCCTCCACCTACAGGGGGACTTTGAATAGCTCAGATCAAATTCAGTGCCTTTATCACGTGAACTATCCACTTAATTTGACTATTACTGTGTGTCTGTCCTCGCAGCTCTGAAAACACAACCTCCTCAGTTATAGTTGAATATTTCGCTCTTCGAAATATAAATATGTAAAGCGCTTAGAAATTACAGTACATTCATTTGTCTAAAGACACGTTAGAAAAAATATCAACCCTATTAGCATGTGCTCAATGTCCAGCTAAACAACAGACTTAAGTGGCACGAGGTATTTTATTTACACTCAGTCTGCGTAACCGGGACCTGGTATCAAATGCATCCACGTTCTTTTTCAGCGAACACTGTGGGCACTCAGAAGAAAGAAATGATTTAACTTGATAATAAGGCCGTTAGATGTGAGTAACTGTTCAACAGTACACATCCCGTGTGCCTGGTAATACAGGGACAAGAGACACGGTGGAGCCCTGGCTAGTCAAGTTAGAGCACACTTAGTGAATTTCAAAAGGGTTTCTAGCAAAAATGAAAACAGTTAATTTAGCCGTCCCCCTGTCGTTTGAGACCCGGAGCACCCAACAGTCGCTAACCCAGCCTCTCATTAAACTTCTGAAATGCAAAATAACCACAAATCATACCAGTATTCAGAGCAAAGATCATCTGTCTGCCTCTGGCGGCCTCCGTATGTGTCAAAGGGGTGGGAAGCGCGGACGACGTGAGTGTCCCGTCAAGACGGCGTGTCCTTCGTGTGCAGTGTTCTATCTAAACAGGGAACTGAGCCAAGTCGAAAGATGGAATTGAGCGAGGCGGATTCAGTGAAGCGGAACATGGGGTTTAACAATACCTTATCGAAGTTATCCACTGAAGAAAAAATGTGTGTTGCCACCCAAAAAGGATATCTGTAATGACCCAAAGAATAGTTCCCTAGTCTGGGATGAAGAGGCTGAACGAGGGCAGTTTAACGCAGCGTAAACCGCAGCTTCGTAAGTTAGAAGTATGTGTGATGACCACGGGTCGTCAGTGATTTATGAACTAACGGCAGCAAGAAAATTATTTTTAAAAATGGAAAAATCTCTTATTAACCGATAGTTAATAAATGTTCAAGAAGTTCCTCACTCTTTTTATCGGCTCTTAAAGGTTTGCTTTTTTATCAGTATTTTTGGGAACGCGGGCCCTAATTCCCCGAACTGGACTTTCTGAAGATGTGATGGCGACGTGTCAGCACACTCTTAGGCATAACAATAGTTTCCTCGGTAAGGGGCTTGAGATAGCAGTAGGGTAATGTGGCTCTGCAAGTGACTGAGGAAGTTCGTGTGTCATGTGGAAATCATGTTTACTTTGTTACATCTTTTGTGTGAAACTGAGTTTGAACGTATGTCGCTGTTCCTTATTATGTTTTCGCTGACGATTACAGCACAGACACTCCCGGATGATCATCCCGACGATTCTTTTAGAGTAAAACAAAATCCCGAAGTCTTAGTAACTCATCTCCTCTGGAAGGCAGACTGATCCAGCACAGTCAGGCTCGGCCAGGCTCCCATCTGTCAGCAGGGTGGTGTCGTGTCAGGATGTGTGGCTCTCCTGCTGGTGAACAAAGTTTATGTCACTCACTGTATTCAAGTGTGGGACACAGTCTAACAGCCCAATTTCCAGGTTTAACATAGAACATATAACTTCTGATTTAATAGTGTTTATTTGACAAATTCGTGTGTTCATGATTCATTCAGAATTACAAAGTAAAATCTTCAAACTGAGTGTTAGCAGAGGGCCTAGGCTGGGGAGGGGGTGTCTTACTGGTCTCTGCAGAAGTAAATACATATGAGGCATTTTTATTATGATACTGTACTTTGGGTTTTATCCGATAAAAGAAAGAAAGAAAAAATACCTACTGTCTACTCATTTTCAAGCCTCCTCGAAAATGGCGTTTGTGATCCCCCTTTGCAGAGTTGCTCTGGAGGGGTCCCTAAAGAGGCCACACGTCTCCTCTCTCCTCCCCTACCTGGACAATGCCTTGTTTTCTCATCTGAATCTCCGTGTGACTCATTGATCAAGTGCGAAGCCTGTTAAGGTTTCTAGCCGACACCCAGACACCCAGCGCTGAGACCACCCTGGCATTTTGCTGTTCTGCAGGGCGGCTCCATCTCTGCAGAGAAGGTTCTGGAGAGGAAGGGCGGCCAGCTCCCTACCACACGTGGAGCAAGAACCGCCCACAGTTGGGACTTCGGGGAGGAATCCTCACTCAGCTGTCATCTCACATTGGGATGCTGGCGAAATACACTCCGCCGCTCTTGGTTCAGCAACAGGAAACACTCTCGGTTCCTACGCTTGGAGCTGACTCGTTATCCACAGCTTAGACCCCGCAGCTCATTCCAGCAGTAGTGGGTTGGCCTTGTTCTCCTCTGGGTTTCGTGCCCGATGGAAGTGGGCACTGCTCCCCGGACAGCTCGGCTCTGTAAACGTGTGCTCACTTCCAGAGGCCAGTCCCAGACAGTGGTGACGCGAGGTGGGGTCAAGCACCTTGGGCCAGGAGGGCAGGCCGCTGCTGCGTTGCCCGATTCGTGCTGGGAGATGACGCCTCTTCCGAGCCACTCAGGTTGTCCAGACGAGCAAGGAGGGGCCCTGAGGGTCCGCAGAGCCCCACTGCCTTCTCCGATGCCCACTGGGTCCTGACCTAGGCATCCCGTACCGAGCAGGACCCTGGGAAGAGAAGCACATTCCAGTTCAGTTCTGTTCACGACTCTCACCGGCTCTAGTGGTCGGAAGGAGTTGTCCTCACTGTGCTGGGTACCAAGGATGTAGATCACCCATTAAGCAGGATTAGATGGAAACTGGGTGTTCTGCCTCCTCAGGGATGAAAAACGGAACATTAAGTCCTTCGCGTTGACCTTACTCCCAGGAATGTGCCCATGATAGTTTTTCCTAGTATATTTTACTTATATTCATAGCTAGAGGTCCGTTGGGTTGAAAAGATCAGTTTGCACACCAGTCACACCATAAAACACTGTCATATAAAATACCTCAACCTTCTGTATTCCTCACTGATGCCTCGCATTTGTACTGTGACGGATTTGAAGGGTCTGCCTTTTGCTTATACGTAATTTTTTACATCTGGCCAGATTCTCTTACACCTCCATCGTATACTTGAAAAGATTTAGAATGATAGGCACAGGAATGAGAATTTGGTCCAAATTTACGACTCATTTATTTTCATCCACGTTTCTCACATGCTTTGAAATGCAATAAAAAAAGTCATATTTTAAGGAAATGTAACTTCACGTTACATCAAGAAAATGTCTAGTAAAAAGCCGATGCTCAGTAGAACGAGGATGATGTAAATTAACATCTATTTCGAATATACCCAGTGTGACAAGAAGCATAGCATAAGGCCCAGAGTAGGACCAGGGAGGATTTATTTGTTCTTTTCTGTATTTTTTCTTGAATTGTGTAACTATAGATGAGTCACTTAACCCTTCTGTGCCTCATTTTCTCTACCTCTAAAGGGGTAGGGTGGTTCTCCAGCTCGACCGTTTTAGGGCACTTGCGCTTTAGCTTGTGCTGGGACCTCGGAAGACTGTCACGTGCAGGACTGCTCGGGAGCGACACAACGTGGGAACTCGGCGTGCTCTGGGCAGCCCGTCTGCTCAGGCCGTGCCACAGACACGGGGCTGAGTGCCGAAGGAGCAAAGGAAGGGGTGTAAAGTTTGCACAGTTCCACGAAGCTTTAAGTTTCCTGCTTTTGTTTTTAAAGGAAGGTTTTTATATATTCTATGGTAAAATGTGGACATTAAATATGGACTTTTAAAAGCCGCACTGAAAGATCACGTTCTGATGGTGTAATGAGCTTCTTTGACGTTCTGCGGCATAGATCTATGTTCTGCGGAAGATTCAATGACCTGTGAAGCAGACGGATTCTGTTGTGTTAAATTTGTAATGGATGATGCTGAACTTCCTGTTTTCCAGCAGCTCAACCCTGACCATGAACTACCTGACTCCTGATGAATGTCAGGAATCCTGAACCACTAGTGCCAAAGGGTCACACTGAAAATTCAGAGTATTTCTTTTACTTGTCAGAGTAGAATAATTTGCCCCTAATTCTCATGTAGGTGTTTTTGCAGTTTGGAAAAATCTAAAGTTACTGTTTTCCAGCACCATGCATGCGTCTTTTTTGCCTTTTAAAATAACTGTTACTTTCTTGTAAAATGGAATAAATCACGAAAGAGTAAAAGACTAGATAAAAAAAATGTAAAATGTCGACGGGCCGCCTAAGTTTTTCATGTAAATGTATCAAGGGAGCTTCCACTTAGCGCACACACACCTGTCAATGGCTAAGTCTTGCTTATGTTGTGCTGCATAGAAGTAGTCATAGCATGTAATTGCCTCAAGTAAATAAAAAGGCGATTTTTTAAGTTTTCCAATATTTATTAACCTGTGTGTGTTTTAAACTGAAATAACTTCTTTCTAGCTGAACACCTGTTGGCTTTTTTTACCCTTTATTTGAAATGTTTCTGTAGCCTTAGGTCCTGTGTTATCACCATTCCTCAATCAAATGTTTCCTATTTTCCTTGTAGAAACGAACAGCCCAGGTTTCATGATGTAGATGTCCGCCCGTACATATCTTAGGGAGCGAATCCGTGATAACGTGAAGGGATTCTCCATACAGTGATTGTCCCCTCCACACCCAGTCAACCATTCATCTGCTTTCGGTTGCTCTATATTACCTTCCATTTACTAGAATTTTATATAAAGGTAATCATTTAGTATATGCTTTTTTGGGTCCGTCTTTCAGTTCTCATAATTATTTTAAGATTCAGCCATGTTATAGCATGTACCAATAGTTCACTGCCTTTCATTGCTTAATAGTTTTCCATTATATGGATAGACCACAGTTGTTTCTCCATTCATCTGTTGATGGACATTTGGGTTGTTTCCATTTTTTTGGCAATTACAAATAAAGCTTCAACTGAATATTCATTTACAAGCCTTTTGACGGACATGTGCTTTCATTTCTTGAGTCATGTGGTTGACACATATTTAACATTTTAAGAAATTCGAAGCTGTTTTGCCAAGGAGGCTGTACCGTGTACCCTCTCACCAGCAGGGGATGAAGAGGAATTAGATTTTTAAACATTTAAAAGAATTTCATGATCAGTGCTTGAGTACACGAGGTGGGCAACGTCGTATGCCGGAGAAGTGACTTTGGCACCTAAGGAGTCTGCATCCTATCAGCAAGGTGCTGATCCACTTAGAAAAACACCGCACTGTGCAACCTGCCTGTCAGGTGGGAGATCCAGGGAATGACTGTGGGATGAGTCTTCGATAACGTGAGTGGGCTATGACAAGAGAAAGCTGATCAGACAAGGCAGGACCTAGCTGAGGATTAGAAAAGAGCTGCAAGCAAATTCATCTACTAGGTTAAACTAACAATTTCTAAGCATTGCTGTTTGTATACTCCAAGTACCGCTTTCATTACAGCCATCTGTCGGGATTTATGAGTTACTGCCACATGCCGATCCGTGTCAAAAGAGTGGCTTAAAATGACAATCGTTTATTCTTTCACATACGTCTATCAGTCAACAGTGAAGTTTTGTGGACCTCAACCGATTTGGCTCGTTCTCTGGTCTCGACATAGCATGGTTCAGTTGGGTGACTTTGCAAGCTGCTCTCCCACGTAATTCCCCCCGCCTCCAGCACGATGGCCCAGGCTTCTCATCCTGCTTTAGGTGGAGAACCACCACGCTTTCTTGGCCAACGACGGTCCAAAGCCTAAGGCAGAACCGGGGCTTGGAGTGGAGCTGCAAAGTCACTCTGCAAAATGTGTGGATGGGAAAAAGACCGGAGCTGGTTCTCATCAAACTACCACGTCTTCAGAAACCAGCTTGCCGACCGTCTTTCAATATCCAATGTAATTTTTTGATACGTCATTTAGCTAGAATCTGACTGAAACCAAAGAAGTTGCCCAGCTTTTCAATGAGAAGCTGCACAGTTACCAATACCAAAACCAGAGTGATCAGGGGCTGTGCAGCCCAGAACGTAACAGTACAATGGCATTAGTCTGAACGGGGTAAATTATATTTGGCATTTTCTGGTTCAATAAGCAAATAAGATTCCCACCCCAAATGATTTAAATTTCGTGGGAGGAGACAAGGGAGGACAGACTCACTGGATTTCCTCTGTACCTCATAAAAAATAAGTTTCCGCTCCAAAGGTCTCGAGACTCGCTTTTAGCCGACCATAACCTCGCCCAAAGAACGGATCTATCCCAGGATTCGGTTTGTTAACCCTGAGCCCCGCCCCTCGCGGTCACCGACCCGGGCCGGCCTCGCTCTGGCCCCGCCCCGCCCCTCCCGGTCCTCGAAGCCCCG